AATAATAAAATACAAGGCTCAAAAAAAATCCTAGAAATGTTTGGTTGTTTTGTGTTGTTTTGAAATCCACAAAACCACAATGATTAATTGAACATTACTTCCTTGCAACATTGCCAAATATAAAGTGAACCGACATTGAGTGAACAAACATGGAAATGGGTCTCTCCATCTTGCTTTGGACCAATGCACAATCACAATCAAAAGTGAAATTGTCTCCAGTCTACAAGGTAATTGTTTTAGGGTGTCTCCCCTGCTTCCAGTGAGGAGGAATGACTTTTTTTTTTCTCAAAGACTACCAAAGTATGTATTTGATATTCACATGCAAGGAACTTAAAACCTTATAAATCTCAGAACGTCAGCTCTGCATGACACCTTTAAGAAGGAAATGACATACAAAGTTCACTAATTGTGCGAAATATTAAAATGTTAAAGCATTTTTACACAGAAATGTAAAAGATGACCAATGAAATTAACATGGGTTCCTAAGAACTTAGAGGAATGACTTCTAAGGGGGAATCAGAGCTCAATGGTGAACAGAGTAAATGGTAAATAACCACGGTGATTCCACTGTCCAGTTCTGAACATTTGTCTCCTCCCCCCAACTGAAACGTGCAGAGACCAGCAGCCCAAGGCTTTTAAACTTGAGCCCCTAGAGAGAAACTACCATATAATTCTTTCTTTTTTTCTGTTTAGATTCTTCATGCTGATTCTGACTGCCTTTCTCTTGACATCCAGGCCCTGACTTGAGGAAATGTCTCTCATCAAAAGTACTCTCTTCCCTTCATTTTGTCTTCACTCCTCCATATCCTTTTCAAAATCCAAATCAGTTTCTGTCAACCGGACACAGATTGTCCCTCCTCCCTCCGCCTCTGACTTTTATTGTTGTTATTGCTGTTTCGGCTTTAAAAAGGAAAAGAAATCAATCTGGGAGGGGTGGGGGAAGGCTATTCGGATTCCTGTCCATTTTACTGAGATTATTATTTATTTTTTTAAAAAGAATTTATGTTCATCTATGCACTGAATTTCTCAGAGAGGGTAATACTATTTCATTTTATTAGAGAAAGAAAAATAATTCCCTGCTTCATGTGCAGGAATTAAAATACTATAAATTACACAACCTTTATCTGCTTGGAGCTTTAATCACATCACTGCCAGGGTCTAACATTATCTTCAATCAATAAAATAACATTGTTAACCTTGTTTCTCCTGGACACAAAGATTGTCCCTCGGGCTATATGCTAGGATAGTCATGGTTCTTTTTTAAAAAAAAAATACATAATCTTAGTAAATTCAACTCTTCTGGAACAACCAGAAGGCAACAAGGCCAGGCAAAATTCTTACACTATTGTAGTCATTGACCTCTCCCAGTATACCTGAGAGGGTGAGCCAAAACACATTAGTGAGAGCCCAGATGTTTCCTAGACCAAGTCCCAGAAAATCAACATTACAAAGTGGTTAGAGTACACCAAATTCCCACCCTTCAACTAATTCTGAAATATGTCTGGAAGATCTTCTTTTTATTCCCCCCCATACCCTCTCCTCCCATTTTTGTCCCCACGCCTCCCTCACTCTACCAACCAGGATGAATACTCGAAAATATAGGAAACCTGTTTCTCTGCTAAGCCTTGGTTAACTTATTCTATACAATTTTACTCTCAGCCAGAAGGAAAAGTTGTTGTTGTTGTTGTTATGTGCCGTCGAGTCACCTGCGACTCATAGCGACCCTATGTACAACAGCCCTAAACTCCACTCTGTCCTGTGCCAATCACACTGTCTCTGACACTCCCATCCCAATTATCCCAGTCACTGAATCAATCCACCTCATAGAGGGCCTTCCTCTCCTGCGCTGTCCCTCCACCCTCCCAAGCATGATGTCCCTCTCCAAGGACCGGTCTCTCCTCACAACATGTAAAAAGGAAAAGTAGCCAGTTCAAATGTTCCCTACAGATACACAGAGGTATTTGTGCACAGCGTGTGCTCTCTCTCTCACACACATTCACACTCACACTCACACACACACACACACACATCCCCCCCATTACAGATTGAGAGACTGAGTGATCACCCTAAATTCTCTTCTTCTTCCAGGTTTGTCAGGACTATAGTCTGAACTGTCCTATAGAAAACCTTTCCCAAAAGGTTAGTGACCCAGGACACAAATTCACTTTCTTTGGAAGAAGTAATGGTCTCCATGCAGCTCTATCCCAATACTATCAATGGATTATGTAGAGGCAGTATAACCACTATAGCTAAGAGCCTAAGACTACAGTCAGCTTATTAACTGACTTGTCCATATTTCTTTACCTCTCCAAGTCTCAAAATAATAAACAGGGAAGGGATAATGATCCTCATATCTCATAAGATCATTAAGAAGATTAAGAGACACAATGAATACAAAGTCCTAAGCCCAGAGTCCATCACCAGAACCAAAATCAAACCCACTGCCATCAGGTGAGTTCAAATTTATAGCGACCCTTCATCAGGTTTCCAAGGCTGTAAATGTTTACAGGAGGAGACCACCCATCCTTCTTCCATGGAACAACTGGTGGATTCCAATTGAAAAGGGTTAAGAGCTAAGAATTGAGAAAGAAGTACAACAAAAGGATCTTGGAAAATTGTCCCTCTTTGGGCCAAGCTACACAGGTCAAAGACAACTTCGGTCAATCAATGTTTTGAGGCACTGTTCTGAGTCTTTTCAACTATACTAGCTTGACATTTGTTCTTAATTTTAGCACTAGCTTAAGAAAAGGCTTTGCATTGGCCCAAGCCTTCATTCCCATCTCTTATTTAGATCAGGCCAGAAAATTGTTTCAAGAATGACAGCAATATCTTGACATTTCTAAACTTTACTGAAAATCAATGTTGACTATCTTTTCTCTGAGATGATAACTTAAACACTTGGTCATTTTTTGGTCCTAGTTTTATCTTTTTTTGGGGGGGTCCTCTAGAAAAATGAATGTGAACCTATTAATAGAAAACAAAGGCAATCAACTACAGAGTGCATAAAATAAAGAGATAGCGCATGGTGTTCAATCAGGAAAGGTATGCATCAAGATTGTATCCTTTCACCATATGTATTCAATATGTATGCAGAATAAATAACCTGAGAAGCTAAACTATATGAAAAGAACGAAGCAAGAGGACTGGAGAATGACTCACAACCTGTGGTATGGAGATGACACAACCTTGAAAAGAGAACTTAAAGTGCTGATGAAGATCAAAGACCACAGCTATAGTCTTTATAGCTATATAGCTATAGTCTTTGATCTTCTATATTGATACCAGTAAAGAGGAAACATATGAATATGAACTATATGGATAACACCAGAGCTATATAGCTAATAGCAGAACAGAGAAAACAAAAATCCTCACAACTGGACCAATAAGCACCATCTTGATAAAATGAAGAAAGGAATGAAATTGTCAAGGACTTCACTTTACTTGGATCCACAAACAATACCCACGGATGCAGCAGTCAAGAAATCAAATGACGGACTGGATTGGGCAAATCTGTTGCTGCTGCAAAACAAAACAAAAACCTCTAAACTGTTAAAAGCCAAAGATATCATTTTGAGGTCGAAAGGGCATATGAACCAAGCATATTCTTTTCAATTAACCTCATTCACAGCAAACTCTGGACATGAATAAAGCAGACCGAAATAATTGATGTCTTGGTTTTGGTATTGGTATTAA